TACCAATAAAGCAGGTTTATTTTTAGAGTTTAAACAGTAGAAGTTCCTGTAATTCTAACTATACTAAATTAATCAATTTTAAATTTCTAATTAATCGGGAATACATAAAAGAAAGTCAGTGATCAGTACAGAAAGATATAGCACACTGAGGGTTTCCATTACAACACATTACATTGTGTTACTTATACATATGTATATAAGACTCTAAATTGAGTAGTGATTGAAATCCAAAATTCCCTAGCATAAGTTTGCCTCACATTTTGCCAGTTTTATACTTTAGAGTTATAGTCTGACTGCGAGCGCTACAGGGCCTTCGGTGGCGACAGATGTGCTGGAGGAGGAAAACCGAAATTACGAGTTCACATGACATCGATACTGCAGAGTAGTTTTTTCAACAGATTGATTTTCAGTATTTTAATAGTTTATGATCTACTTATTATGGTTATTATCACTAACATTTGTAAATTATTATATTATAATGTCTTAATTATAATTATTGCAATAATAATAATTATCTATAGGTACATATAATAAAACTGTAGAGATCGAATGTACATAGAAAAATATTCTAAAAACCGAATCAGGGTATGTAAGAAGAAAAATAGAACAAATCCAGATTTTTGTTTCTCTGTCTGTTTGTAGGGACTAATCTCCGAAACTGTTGAACCGTTTTAAATGAAATTTTGCATGGTGGTACCTTATATCCCCGGTCAACATTTTAGATACTTTTCATCCCGGAAAATTAAAAATTTCTCGTGGGATAGTTAAAAACTATAGTAACTTATACCGCTGAGTACACAACAACTCAGACACCTAATTTAGTAATTTTTGGCATTCTGATACTTTATATTGCGGTTCAAACAACAGGCTACATTTTATCCCGGAAAAATGAACGGTTCCCGTGGGATAGATCTGTTTGGGCTTATCTAGAGGGGAACCCGAATGAAGCGAGGGTGAGCCGCTAGTTACTAATAGTAATAAGTATAATTATGAAATATTAAGTAGGTATTTAGTTATACTATCATACTAACATTGAAATAAGTGACAGATATGATATTATCTAAGGTAAACTTCGATAAGTATCAAGTACGTATAACGTATACATTTAGGTACAAAAAATGCATATTATCTCTTCGAATATCGATGGCAAAATGGAATGGAGCAGTCTCTCTTCCCTGCATATCACCGTACTATCAAATACCCACACTATAACACTCAAGTCACACCAAGATTGATATAAAAATCACATACAGTTTCATTAAGACTATTAAAACTGTTTCAAAATAGGTAAAATCATAGAATAATATACATAACTAGCTACTCACCCTCGCTCCGCTCGGGTTCGTCTCTACTTACGTTTTAACGTTTAGTTCAGATTTCTCAGAAATGAGATATTTTCCGGCAATAAAAAGTATCCTATATTATGTTGACCCGGATAACCAGCTATCATCATATCAAATTTCATCAGTCCAGTGAATTTTCCGTGATGCGGTAACAGACAGACAGACAAAAATTCTAAAAACTATAGATTCGGCCGCTATATCGATAATAATGTTTATTGCAATAAGATTTTCCAAGAAATATTTAATGTACAGATTCGGCTTAGTTACAATTTTATTATATGTATAGAAAAACCAACCCACATTGAAAACCGCTTTTTTGAAGTTGTCTCAAATTATCTCGATTTGCCGTTAAAATTCATCACTAAACATGTATACAAATTGTGTGTCTGTAGAGAAATCGTTAAAGCATTTACAAGGTATTATTTTAAAAATAAGGAAAGCAGACCTCGCGAAAAAAATCCATCATCTTAATGCAAACCTAGTTTTTCTCTAAGGAAAGTTATTAGTTGGAGCATAAAAACCTGGTAAAGGGTGCCTTTTATAGTTGAGCTCTTTCAGGCCAACATTTTAATGAGAGTTTTAGGCCAGTCAATAGTTATTAATATTTTTAGTGTTAGTGTATAAATGAAGATGCATATTTTGTATTTATTAATTTTGAACAATTTCATAATAGGGAATATACGTGTGATTTAAATAAAGATGATTTTTTTTTAATAATATTTATTACTTTTGAATTAAGGCTATAGTGATATTTCTAATGTAATTTCTTTTAGATTAAGAAAATAATTATTAAAAAGTGCAAATATATGTGGGAAATTCAAAGTAGTTGAAACGAACGCAATTGGTCAGACCAAATAAGACGTCAGAGCATATATATTATAGTAGATCGATTAGCGATTTTGTCACTACACATTGAGTCGTCATTTTTCTGTGTATATCATACTGTGACGTCACGCCAGGCGCGAAATGGCGGGCGCTTAAATCGATATGTATTTAAAAAAAATTAAACTAAATTTTAGTTTTTTTGGAACTCGATATTTTTTTTACAATTATATAACGGTATAAGCTATATAAAAAATAAAAAAAACCGCATATTCCCCATTAATTCAAGTAACATATGAGATTTTGCACACTTCAAAGAAATATTTTTGTTATTATAGTTTGTGTTTTACCTCCTCATTGCCTTTTTTAATAAATTGTTCATTTTAAAGTAAAGTGATAGCTAGAAAATAATAAAATATTTCATTTTATTATAGAACTATGAACGTAGGCTAAAACTAGCTTAAAACATTAATCAATAGGGGGCATAAAATAGTTAAGAATATTTCGAATCAACGTTGAAATTATTCATTAACTCTTTTTCAAAAAGTTGCCGACTAAAAGCGGTGTTACGAAACGTACTGGGTCGTTAACTTTTCTCCAGCAAGGCCCAAAGTTGGCTACGTGTTTTGTTTCCTTAGAAATTTGCAATTTCGGCGGAAACTTCCAGCCAAGTTAAAGGATAGCGTTTTGTAAAAAAGTTGGTAGTGACAAAAATGTTTTATAAATTTTAAATGAATGTTATATTTACTGTGTATGTGTTAATTTATATTTAAACGTACTTATGAATATTAGCTGCCACAAAGTCACTTGAGATATTTTATTTTATGTCTAACTTAGACTTAAACGTAGATCATATTACAAGTAATACATAATATTAACGTCAAAAAAGCATAAATTTAAAATTTTATATATAAGATGTATGTTTTAAAAATATATTTATTTGATCTTTGTTCTTTGGAGCTCAAACTTCAAAGCGATACCATTTTTGGCCATCGCGTTTGTATTTGAGAAGTTTCGTTTCAAAACTTTCCGTATTAGAGTCAAGCACGAGGGTTATACGTGTTTTGCAACAAATAATATACACAATGTGACCTAAAATTGAGTGGTGACAAACTCTGCGTGATATCGACGAGAGTTGGTTTTTATTATTTGCTGCTTTGTTAATATATCCACCATATAATATAACCATGTCCATATTTATTTTAGCTTTTAGTACAACTGTTTACTTTATTTATTACTTTATTTAATACTAGCGAGTCATCCTCGCTTCGCTCGGGTTCGTCCCTAGCTTGCTTCCTAATACAAACTTTCATCTCCATTTTCACCCTGTTAAGGGATAATTTCCGGGATAAAATGTATCCTATGTCTTTCCCAGGGTCTCGAACTATCTTCTTAGCAAATTTTATCTGTCTGTTTAATTTTCAAAGACCTATCCAGATTTATTACATACATCATATTCCACGATATAATGTTACAATTTATATACTTACAGGGCCTTTTTATTCTTTTAATTAATATTATTTTTAGACAGTCCAACGCTTAATAGCTAAAAAAAAATTTTCATTTCTAAGAGAACATTTAAAAAAAACAACATGACAACATTACGAGACATCGAAAAAATTACGTATAAAACATATAAATATTTTAGTTATTATCTGATTATGATAAATATTTTTAAACGAAAAACAGATTCTTTATCACAAGATAACTCCTCATTGACGTACATACACTGCGGATTTTTAATCGATTTTATAATACTTTTGATTTAACACGTAACCGGTATCGTTTTCACTTTTCGTGAAACACTAGAAGTACTCACGTCATACTAATGTAATATTAATTTAATTGTTACTAGTTTTCACACGCGTTTTCACTCGCGTGCTATCCCGATATAAATGTCTATAACAGCTGTAACAAAGTGTAGCTAAAATTCACACTATATTATTTAGAAAATTTTCTATGTAAAAAAATTATTTAGAATTGGCCGGCCTCCCACAATAAAATATGATAAATTATTCTCATCATATTTTGATGCTTGTGATTACGGGTTTGAACCCTGCTCGACAAATATAATGGGTTTGACACTAAACCTGAGAGATGTGGTTTAGTGCAATGATTTATATAATGTCAACAGAATTAATTTTCATGAGTAAATAAATTAAAAAAAAACATTACTTTAGAGAGCATAATATAATATTTTAAAATGTAAGGGAAATATAACCAAATGTAATTCAACTATATAATAATATAATAGAACTAGCGACTCACGCTCGCTTCGCTTCGGGTTCGTCCCTAAACAAAAAATAATTTATCACACAGAAAGCGTACATTTTTCCAAGATAAAAAGTAATCGAAGCGCTATACCAGACTAAATATATATATATATATATATATATATATATATATATATATATAATCTATCTCTGTGCCCAATTTCACCCAAATCCGCTCAGCCGTTCTGGTATGAAAGAGTAATAAACACCCATCCATCCTCACAAACTTTCACATTTATAATATTAGTACGAATTTAATAAAAATATTTAAATTATTATATTATAAAATCTAATTAACAAATTTTCATGGCTGCTAGACTCGTCTAATTGGTCAGCCGTACGGCCCTTAGCCGACCTTGTAGTAAATATAGAGCGGCCGCCGCTGTCGCCAACGCGCTATTAGAGGAATACAATCACTACGATATACAACGTCTTATCACTGAAAATGGCTGAACGATCGTATCGTAATCCACTAACACTAGCCCCTGTCGATCTAAAAGTGTTTACCAAGTACAAAACTGTGTCCAATGAAGAGTATCGTTAGTGCGCAATTATTATAAAAATGTCATCAGCTTCGTCGGTAACGGGAAGGAAGTGTTAGTTCTGTTATAATATATTTTTGTGAGTGAATGAGTGTTATGGAAATTGTGAAAGGTGTTATAATTTACTTAGTGATTCTAATGTTATATTTGGCTAAGGAACTCGTAAAATATTTATATACTTGTTACGTAGATTTTGGTCTATATAGTTGTTGCTAAATTATAGTTAAAGCAAATTGTTGTGTTAGTATTATGTTAATTTTAACTTTTTTCATGGTTAATAGCATTTATTAATATTTGTTATCTTAAAAGATAAGAATATGTTTGAAATGCTTGCACTATTTTCAGCACATTCCTAGCTGTCATGAGTCTAGTCTCGTAGTTGTCGAATATAGTCGTTGTTGTTTGCTAATAATATTTTAGTAAAATGTTTAAATATAACATATTTTAAGGATAAATTAGCTTATCTTCTCTTATTTTGTATTTATTTGTAGTTATGTATAGGTATTGCAAATATATATATATATATATATATATATATATTTGTAGAAAATATATTGAATATTTATACTAACAGTGAACTAATATTGAATTGTATGACCGAGCTAATTGGATGACACATTCTCTTTGGATGTCCGATAAGTTGAAGTTTATCCTATATACGTAATCCGGTCACTTATGTACGCACTCATATTAATTTGCTTGGTATATGCGAATATCTAACTGCACATTGTTCGACATTCGTGTATCATCTCGATTAGTGTTAATTAATGAAATGGCCTATTTGACACTGAATGGAACGTGTGATAGAGATAATTTATTTAAATAATTTAATAATTTATTTATACATATAATAAAATTCTAACTAAGCTGATTCTGTACATTAAATATTTTTTGGATTTTTTTTTTGAAATCGCCTTTATTATCGATACAAAGGCTGAATCTATCGTTTTTAGAATTTTTGTATGTCTGTCTGTCTGTGACCGCATCACGAGTAAACCACTGAGCAGATTTTAATGAAATTTGGTATAATGAAAGTTGGTTATCCGGGTCTACATATAGGATACTTTTTACTGCGGGAAAATATACCATCTCTGAGAAATCTATACTCAACTTTAAAACGTAACTAGTGACGAACCCGAGTGGAACGATGGTGATTCGCTGGTGATACAATAAAATGCTGATACATAAAATTGCAATCACTTTACATTTATCCGATACTTCTCTTTGTTTGAAATATATTTCAATCTACTCTCGTATGAATGTAAAATAGACCTCTATTACAGCTATCATATATGTATATGTGAAGAAAGAACTTATAACTACGACTATAGTGAAAGAAAAAGTAAAATGACGCACGTTTTATACGTTTTCTAGAACCAAGAGACTCACAACTCTATTTTCATTTGAAAGAAACTGAGAAATTGCAAACGTCAAGCAGTCAGTATTATACGTACTCGTAGCAAAGCTAATTAAACCGGTAGCTAAAATTACTAATTACGCTTTCAACAAACAAATTTATTTATGACTGGCATTGCCCGCGGCTCCGCCCGCGGCAGATGACCAAAAACCAAATTCTTAGTTTTTACATATTAGTATACTCTTACATTGCAGTTTTTGTATATTTTCTCAGAAATGAGATATTTTCCCGCGGTAAAAAGTATTCTATATGTTGGCCCGGATAACCAGCTATCATTATACCAAATTTCATCACAATCCGTCCAGTGGTTTTCTCGTGATGCGGTAACAGACAAACAAAAATTCAAAATACTATAGATTCGGACTTTGTATCGATAATAATGTCTATTTCAATTAGATTTTCCAAAAAATATTTAATGTACAGATTCGGCTTAGTTACAATTTTATTATATGTATAGATTTATTATACTAAACATTACTTAGTCTTAAAGAACGTATAAAGAAGAGGTTCTATATTTGCTTTCCACGTAGCCAATAGCTTTTGCTGCTTAAAAGAGGTCTCTGCCAAATTCAAATAAAATAAGCTTTGAATAGGTAGGTACTTCTCGTTTTCCCATGGGATTGAGAGTTTATTCCGAAAATAAATGCAGCCTTTTTCCCAGTTGCAATTTGTAGGCTATGTTTGTGTCTTAAATTGAATATATATATCATGTATTTTTTGGAATCATACATTCAGTAATTCAGAAAATAAAATTTTGAAAATAGGTACCCTAGAAGTTCTTCTAGCGGTGGATATTTCACCGAGGCATCTGATTCAGGTGATCTCCGCGGAGGCTTTGTAGTGAATGCGCAAGCGATCCAACAGATCGGCTATGAAGGATTTCCCCAATGACAAGAAAAGACAAAATGTTTTAAAAACCTTTCAATAGCTTATTTGATGTTCTTGCAATTTTTATTTATTTCAAACAAATACAAGAATAAAAAATAGATTTTTAAATTTAACTATACGACAATCATTGATATAAACTTATAATTATGTATGAATTATTTACTTTTGTTGGTAAATTTTAAAACATACAAATACACAAATGATCTATAAGGGCTCTATTTTATAAGATATTTTTTTCGAGTAGATTGTCACTAAATCTTAAATACTTTTGAGTAGACTTAAGGACTTTTGGGTTTGAAATAAAAAAAAAGACTTAACAAGAAGGCAGGTAGAAGCTACGCCACACTTCGCTCCCCCCTTAGCCTTTCAACCTACGTTATCCAAGTCAGACCTGTCACATAATATTATTATATATAATGTAAAACTTATTAATAAATAATATTTTACCCAGATGCTATAAATTTAATATAAAAAAACAACAAAATTAAGTATGTGGACAAAATTATAATTATATCTTAGCCATACAGTAACTGGTTGACTATTAACAGTTTCATATAAATTAGTGCCACCAAATATATGACTTCATAAGTTATTTATATTATGTTAATATTAACCTATCTATATCTATAAAATTTTATATAATACATATCTGTTTATTTTCTTTTTTAATTTTTTCAGTGGTTTTAAGTACGCTTCTGGAGACTGATCACTATGAGAGCTTGATAAAGGAGCTGACTTGTACGAAATGCAACAAATATATGAAACCACCCATTCATCTTTGTGTGGACGGGCACAGTATATGCGGGCCTTGCTTTGGGAAAAGTTATCAATGTCACGTTTGCCAAGTAAGTTTACGAATTCAGTTTGTAAAATATAGTACGGGTGTTATAATTTGAATTAATCTGATATGTTAAAAAAATAATTATATAGGAGTATATAGGGTTATACATACATATATGAGTAAGTATATAAGTTAATTAATTTATAAATAGATATTAGCAACTTACACTCGCTTCGCTCGAGTGCGTCCCCAGGGATGTTTTAATTTTTTTGAGCGGGACCCTAATTCTATTAAAATAAAATTAAAATAAACGTAGCATAAGTTACTCCTTATAACACCTACCAGTGAAAGTCTCATCAAAATCAGTATAGCCGTTTTGGAGATTAGTTGGAACAAACAGACATATAGACAGACAAACCGACAGACAGGCAAAATTAAAAAAAAAGTGTTTTTCTTATTATTTATAAGTAACCGTATATTATTTTATATGCAATTAGTAAAAAGCTGTTATTTTGACATAACAAGCAGACGCTTTAATTTTGTTTATCTATATAGATAATTATATAATTAATATTTATTGATGATTATTCTATTATAATACAATGAACAACGCGTCATATTAAGTCCATATATCCTTCAACACAAACTTGGTTTAATTTAAACAATTTACTAAATAATAATACTGAAAGGATTTATTTAAATAATCTGAAAATTTATTGACTAAGCCATTTATCAATGAATAAATATGCATAAATAAAATCGTATTACACAATTTTGCAATGACAATCATTACGTTAAGAGATTCGGACTGGCGCTGCGCTGTTTGACACAGGAGGTAGAACACCACATTCGTTCCTATTAAAAACATTTTTTACTTACCATTTTTTTAAAACTACTTACGAGCACTAAAATTAAAAAATAACTAAACGGAAGTTTTCATTTAGAATAGATACCTAATCAGATATTTTCTAAGTCGATGCCTGAATGGTCCCTGGAAAGTATACTTCGAAACAAAAAAAATCCAAATCGGTTCAGGCGTCTTCGACTAGTCGGTGAACATACATAAAAAAAAGATTTCGAAGAACTGACAACCTCCTCCTTTTTGGAAGTCGGTTAAAAATGTTAGAAAGTTAGGCGTATGTAACAACAGATATAACCAGTTATTTAAGTACACGCGTTTACATCTTTAAAATTATTGTATTATTTGAATAACTATATTTTATGTTATATTTTGGATCAAAAAACTCATTCATTGGTTTAAAACAATAATAGTTAATTAGTTTTTGATAAAAAAGAAAATCACAAAATCTGAATCTCCGAGTTTGACGACACGCTTGGCTCAGTTTGTAGTGACCCTACTTGCTGCGCCAGCGGTCGCGGGTTCGAGTCCCGCTGGGGGCATTCATTTGTGTGATGAGCACGAATGTTTGTACTCCAGTCATGGGTGTTTATATTTATAATATGTATGTATTTAAAGTTATATATGTGTAGTGTATCAACTATCTGGTATCCATAACACAGGCCTCGTAGCTTACCATGGAACTAGATATTGCTGTGTGTTAATGTCCTGTCATAAAATGAGTTTATTATCTCGAAATAGGAGATATAATGATAAAAAAAACTCATAAATCTGGAAAATAAGAATAAGCTTTTGTTAATATTGTAAAGAAACCTTTCTTGCTATCTAAATCAAGCCACTCTGGCTTGCTCTACTTATCAGATAGGATCGCTCCCAATATATAACTATTATTATTCTTACTTGAAATAAACAAAGGAATTTAAATTAGCACTTAGTATCTCTTTAGTTACGTATAAAATATTATATTTAATTACTTTTAACTAACACACATACATACATATACACAAACTTATAGCTAACTATTTAAAATAATAAAAACGGGACCATCTCCTATAAAGGCAGTGTCAGTAAGATATGCCGTGGCGGATATGCCCTATATGCCGCAAAAAATTTTACATTAATAACAATAATATTTATCGATTTTACAGAAAGAATTCGCGCTAATTCGTCCAATAGTGCTGGAGTCTCTCGCTAACAAAATCCTGTTCCCGTGTACAAATGATGGCTGTCCGAAGCATGCCACATTACCACTACTTGAGAAGCATACCTCACACTGCCAATATCGCATCATAAACTGTTTTATGGCTAGAGTTTATGGTAATTTTTTTCTATATATTCGATTCGTTTAGTAAATACATGGCGGATTACACCAACGTCACCTAAGTTTAAGGGATCCCCTAAGCATGGTTAGGGGGCTGTTAGGGGACAGTTTCTGTTTCACCGACAGTTAGGGGTCACGTAAATATTAAAATTCCACTTAAATACAGGTACTTACTAGAAATACGGGCTCTGACGATGATAAAACGAAATCTAATTTAGGGGCTAGTTTAGGGGAACTTTTAAGCTAGAGATCCCATACGTAGGTGGTAGCTTAAGTGGTGTTGGCGAAATCGATGGTTGGTGAAATAGAAATGTTGGTAGTAATTGTATGTACATAAATGGGTTAAGCTGGAATCTTCGTTTCATAATTAAAATGGTACTAGTTTTAATAAGTCAAGTTTATTTTTAAATCGTGTGGAATATGTACATATGTACGAGTAATAATTTATGGTATATATAAACTTTCGCTCAATAACAAACTCGTGAATCGTGATATCATCGTGAGAGACAGTCGTAGCCAGACATACTAGATCAGAAAGTAAGTCAGTCTTTACTCATATAAAGTATTGATAAGAAGAGACATATCTATGTCTTCTATATCTATTCTATATATAATAAAATTGTAACTGATCAATGTCTGTGCGTGGAAGATATTTGAGAAAAACTATTATTGGGGTCTTTATTAACGAGATAGAACCCAACACAATATTTTTTAGAATTTTTGTTTGTATTCCTGTTTATATAACGCGTACAAACGCACAGAGTGTTTGTGCGCGATATATATATAACCTAGAGACAAACCCGAGCGAAGCGAGGGTGAGTCACTAGTCTAAAACATATATTGTCTTTAGTTTTGCTTATTTATAGTTACGTAAGAAATCGTCACAAAGTCTCAACTTTATCACACATTGTGCACGAAATCGAGCTATTTTTCTGCCCGAGATACTCTACCATTGCAAAATCCTCTATCTCATGTGACAAATAGGAGCAGGCTACGGCTGAAATTATTTATGGGATATTGTATAACTAACTAAAATAGCCTTGTCCTCTGCCGTGTGAATTGACCTTTTTATTCAACAGACCGTACTCATTCAATTTGGTATTTACTCTAAATTAATTGACAATGAGAAAATGATAGCTAATCAAATGGTTACAAACGAGATAGGCAGTGATTGTTTGTTTACGATAAAATACAATAACATAATGAATTTATATTGATATATTTGGAATATAAAATACATAATTTTATATTTACTTTTACGATCCTGTGCCTCAACAGGCATAACAAAATAGTAATAGAATCATTCATGCATATGTCCGTCTGTCATAGCCTCGGAATCTATTTTACTGAAAACGTTAAAATTTATTGCACGACATTGACAAATGAATACGTAGACAAATAAAAGGATTTTAGTTTTTTGGTTTATTTTGGAGACCAAAATAAGCCAAAACTAAATTGGAAAATTTAAAAGTCCAAATCAAATGAAAGGATCTGTTATGAAGAATGCAAATATAATTCATTATTTATATTATATTTTCTAAATACATAGATAAAAAAATGTTATGATAATGAACAAAAATGGGACACAATTATTCTTATATTGTACAGAACCCTCTTTCACTAGACATTTAAACATTTGACGAAGAAACAAACGTTTGCTTTCTTTATAATAGCATTATAATATTTCCATTATAAGTTAAACAACTTAAACCTACTTCAAACTTGTATTTTTCGATAATTAATAATAGTTTTATATGGTGTATATCTTTTCTAACTAATATTACCTTTTTTCTTTTATCTACTGATTCGAGCTGATTGATCACGGCCATTTATTTTTATATTATAGTGTAATACACGTTCAAGTAAATATTAACTATCATACTACTTCCGAAATTGAATAAAATCTTTATCCTACTACTTAAAGTTTTTGCAGATTCTTGCTTCACATTGTTTTGTAGTAAGAAGAAACAAAGTTGTATCTTATACTACTCTCTACTTTTCTCTTATTATGCGTAGAACTTCAGGCGATTTTATAACCAATGAATTTGACACTAAACAGTTATTTAATATTCAATTATAATTTGCTGATTATAATCACCAAGGTAAACCTTAGCTAACGAAGACATAATCAGCTTTCCGAGCTCTTATGTAGAGGAAAACTATTATTGTTATGAATTTGAGTCAGTATAAAATAAGTGGGTAAAATGTTAAGGTGTTATAATAACTAAAAAGAATGCCACTACATAAGTGTTAACATATTACTATAAAATAATATTGCTATACCTAATTACATATGGATGTGCAACAATGACCAACATATCACTCCCAACAGAATGGGCTTATTAAGTTTATGGCTTTTTGCATATTATTATTATACTAAATTCCAAAGAACTCTTATAAAATACCTTTCTATTTATCTGTTTTAACTGCTGCTGTCTATAATGTCTGAATTGATAATAAAAAACCTTTCACTTGAGAATTCATACGGAAGTAGTATAGTCCATTTTATACTTTAGTAATGAAATACTTTTCCTGCAATGTTAGAAAGGGAAAAAGGGCGGGTTTCTTTTAATGTTAGGGATTTAAAGAAGATTTTGGTAAAAGAGACATGTTATTTCTTGCTTTAATATATGGGCAAATCAAATCAAAAATATATTAAAAAATAGAATAAAAATTGATTAGTATTAATATTAGGTATTTTTCAGGTGAATGCCAATGGGAAGGTCGTGCTGGAGAGTGGATGGACCACTGCTTTTTAGATCATAAGCAGCGCGTAACAGAACTCCCTTTCATCACTGTCCAAGACAAGTGGGAAGCAAAACGAACTGAACCAGTGCTAAATTACTTTCTAATGAAATGTTTTGATAAAGTTTTCAATGTTTATCAAATTTATGACAAACGGGGAGGTGAATGGAAATATTGTTTTTTTTTTCTATCTTATTTTTTCTATAATGAATGCTAGCCGTTCTTCATAATATATTGTTTTGAACTTTTCTGTTCTCAATAGCTCGCACTGCCCACACTATTGCTTCGCATAGTTTCTCACTCACACTTTGTATTATAACATCTACATTCTTAACGCTCGAATCGAGGCATTAGTTTTAGCCCATACGTTAGGTATAACCTTCTTCAATAACTATACTATATAATGCAAAAAAAATTGTTAAATTTAACTATCAATACCCGAGATTAGCAAGTTCAAACAAACAAAAAACAATACGTGAACTTTCATGATATTATTATAGATAACAAATATTTATCATTTATTGACCGTGTGTTAGTATTTTAATCATCACACATGCCAGAGGTCTATCTTCGGTTCCATTAATGAATTTCAATATGGTGAAAATTTATATTATTATAATAAAAATGTAATACGAGTACAGTTGAACGTTTCAACATTAAAAAAGGCACATGTCTTCAAAATCACTTAAAAACTAATTATTCTATCCTTGGGGTTGGAATATTTTTTGAATTATGGTTGGTAAAATGAGGTTTCATATCTATATTACGTTATAACCTATTCATTAAAAAAAAGTATTTTGAAAAACGATTTCAAATTAGCAAAGATATCGACTATTATACATATAAAAGTACAGTTAAATTGAGTACCTCTTCCTTTTGAAGTCGGTCTAAAATAAACACTATAGAATTAATTAGATAAAAGATATAAAACAATTGTTGCGAGCTTGTGACTCTTTGCGTGCATTAATTTTGCTTCAATATTTATATTTGCTCCTAAGCATAAGTTGTCAATGCCAATATTTACCCAGAACTAGAGCAGATTCTACTATTAGACTTTTCTATCAATTTTGTTCCGTCCAATAATTTTAGCTTTATACAAAACGTTATATTTCTACATTGTTTAACCAAATTATGTAGATACTTTTTTCAACACACTTTTTTTTCATTTCGAGAGAAGTTTGCAGTCTTTCATTATCTCATTGTATATTCATTAGATGTCGTTAGTTTGAACTAAATGAATTCAGTCTATCCGCGGTTAGAGGTTAACATTTAGTTTTAACGAATTTCATTTATAATGACAGTTGGTCTCCATTTGCATTAGTGCTTGTTAAGTCGCCGTTTTGCATTGAAATGAAATAAATTAATTCAGCACTTTCAAAATTTCACATGGAAAAGCTACATTATGGTATATGTATATTTATTTATATTACCAATATTTTTTATAATTAAAATCTAATAACATAATAAATATAACCTATTTTTAAAGACACATAGGTATATATCCATATATGCTTTATTTGAATGATAATATTTATACTAGCAGAACTCGCGGCTTTGCTCGCGCTAAAACTAGAAAAATACCTGAAACGGTAGGTTTCATACAAACTTTCTTCAACTATTTTACCTTCTTATGGGATGAATTTCAAAAAATGCTAGAACACGTTTTTATTTAATTGTATTGAAGAGCATTAATACCAAGTTTCAAGTAATTCTGATCATAACATTTTTTTGGGTTGTATTATAACGTGTTTTTCCATGGGAGTGAGATAACACCTGCGGTAAAAAGTAGTCTATGTCACTCTCCCTCTGACTATCTGCACAAAAAAAATCACGGCAATCCGTTCCTCTGTTTTGACTTGAAAGATGGAAAAACAAACACACTTTCATATTTATAATATTAGTATGGAAGTGTGGATTGCAACGTATCATTTTAAGTATACAATAAGAAGCATATACTCACATATTTTAGCCACAAAATACATACATTACTAAAAGCTTTCTAGATAGATAATAAAATATATTAAATTCAATGACAGGCAATGTTATGCTTTTATTCCAAGTATTTGTTATGTTTCAGGAAGAATGATGTGGACCGTTTTAGTAAACGATGAGAACGCTGAGAAGTTCTACTTTGAAGTAGATATCTTCTTACCAAACGTTCCATGTAAAAGGATTGTATATAGGTAAGGTTTATAATATAAATAAATAAAGATAATTACTCCACAGCGAAGTTTGCAAGAAATGAAGACACCGAATTTATGTCTTAAATCTCCTTTTTGTAAACGATATCTTATCTTATCGTTAGCAAATTTAGTTGAAATTTAAGATTCATTTCCTTAGGGACTTTTGAAGATTCTTGTTAGAAAAATTCAAGTTTTTTTTTGACTTTATCGTAATAAATTATCGTCAAGCGCGTTTTAATTAAGAAATTTTTTCAGGAGGCCTTGTAAGTGTGAAAAGGATGCTGATTTTCTAGAGCATACACAAAACGTGTACATTCCTGTAGAAAATGTGTTTTCTATGCTCGACGAGAGTGAAGCTATGAACTTTACCGTCAGAATTGGTAAGAGCTTTTATCTACTTTACATATTTCTATTCAACGTACATAGGAATATATTGTATATTATTTAATCTTTATCTTTACTTCAATGAATTTAACATAATAATGTATATTTTAATAATAACAATATCATATTTATTAAATAAAATATAAACTTACTTAGAGGTCACTAAAGAAAAATATTTGTGCTTAAATATTGCGTATCTCCAGAATACAAACAGTTCAGTAAATCTAAGTATAATATATAATTCTTACAGGCGAGGTTGAAAACTTGCCGCTATTGGAGACGCCCACGGCAAGCGAGAGTCTTATACTACTTAACAACGACGAACATAAAGAGAACTAATAGGAGAAAAACATTCTATTGTACTTTAAATACGAATAAACAGATGTTTTATTCTATAGATAGTTTTAAAAGCATTGTGTAGTCTTGATACTTGCCAACTATTTGTAGGTGAACCCGTGTTTTGTGTTTATAATAAAGGGACTAGCCATGGTATACTTCCACGATATTCTTTAAATAAATACTTTTTTAATCAAATATTTTTTTACACTGTAGAATAATAATCTTCCTATAGTTTCCTATGCGTCCCGTTAAATTATGTATATCTAATTTTTGTAATTTAATTTTGTAAGTTGCTTGTTGGTTTGGTATTTTTCAATGTAACCTAAAATTATTAAATATATAAGTACTTATCAGTGGCTCTTAGTAGTAAACAAATCACAATAGGTCATAGCATAATAAAAACTAATATTATGAATGCGAAAGCTTGTATATGTTGTTTACAATCTTATTTCTTACATCATTAGAACATGACGGCAACGAATTGCAAACGGAGATTTGCTTAACTTATATCCTCGATAATATTAAAATAATTTCTTACACGCGACGTATCAATCATATGAGTGGAGTTGCATAAAAACTGTATATGATGACTGTATATATTGATTATACCTATTGTAGTTTCTAGAATTTTAAACAATAAAGCTAAATTTAAATAAACGAGCAGTTTATTTAAAGTTAGCATTACATAAACTTACTTAAAAATTCCCGAGCATTCTTAAAATGCTTTTATCGATACGTTTTAATACCAGCACTTCATATAAGTTGTTCTGAGAGCATGTTTCCGTTCATACAGTGTAGTAAAAATAAATGACTTGAGAACTTTCCGATGTAATAAAAAAATATGGATATAGATGCCGATTTCTGCAACATTTTTGTAAAGTATATTTACAATAAAGAAAATTACAAATATACTTAATTATATATACAAAATAAATGTACACTTAGTTATTACTGTACAAGTCATGTCCGCGTGGAATAGTGGCAAGAATGCTAGCCGCATTCATAAAGTAAAATGTTAATTGTGATTGATTTTAATAATAAGATTTAATGTTAAGAAACTATTCTTGATAAAGTCATAAAATTGAAGCTTATTCGATATTTCTAATTTCAAAAACATCTGTCATTTTATTTATTGCTACTACTATTTACTAATTTATAATATATCAAATTTCAAAATAAACGATATAAATATAAATTTTATAAATAAGTTGCACGCAGCTTCGACCGCGTAGTTTATTTATTTATATTCTTATTGATCCAAAACGTCGTAATGCTATATTGCATAGCCTCCACCCTTCCTCAATATATAAGTCATAAAGTTCTACATATTAACACGTTCATAAAGCAAACAAAAAAGTCGTCAAATATATACTCGTACATATAAATATATCACTACTAAAGTTTCAACTCCCTTTTTACCCCCACCGCTTTAGGGGTTGAATTTCGTTCCAAAGCCGCTGGATTCATAACTAATAGTCCGTATAGGTAAAAATAATTATTTATAATAAAATCAGCTAAATTTTATTTCAAACAAGATGAAATTTGACCACGTTCCGTTGTTTAACCTTGGCTCAAAAGTGCAATTCTTGAGCTATTAAGGTCTAACCGTCTAAGGCGTGCCATTTTTATCACTTTCTAATTCACCGATCAAAAACCCTGATCACTTTATACTGAGGAAAATTATAAACTGCCACTTATACTTAAGTTAAGATATTAATAAGATTTCGGATACTACATTTTTACAGAGATCTTATTAGATATGTAAACGGAAGTGCACCTTGATGTGATAAAATACGTGTAATTTAAACGTATTTATTTAAATTAAAAAAATTGATCAAAATGGTAATATATAATGTAAGTATATCTACATTTTCTTTTAACAATTTGAACTGCAGAAAGTCTAGTCTGTCAGTATATTTAATAGTCAGTCAGTATATTTAATTGAATGTTCCTATTACAAATGTATTGTATTTTTGACTGTCTTCAAGTCACTATAGTTTCGGTGCTTTTTTTTCGGTATATAAAACTATGTTTTAAATATTAAATATTTATCAATAAATCTCTTTAAATTACTTAAAATATATTCATACGATACTAACTCATTTACAAGTATATATATCTATAGAAAAATGGCACAAAAACGCTTTTCAGTCATAATATAAATCATATCATGAAATTATGGAAAGATGAAATTTATTACTCTTGTTTCCGGCTACAAATTTTCAACGCGTAATAATTTTATACACAATATGAAATTAATTTAATATTTTCTACTTAACATTTATACATATAAGATATTATTTGATATAATATATTTGAACATTCTGTTATGATCAAATACCAAACAATAATTTAATTAACAATATTTTTTTCATCTGCAAGTCCTTTACTAAAATTTTACGTTTATAATTGAATTCAGCAATTAGGTTATCTAATATAAAAACTTAAAATAGCCGACTTCCAGGTACTAAAATATAAAAATAAACAAAACGGTGGATTTCATTTAGAATACATACCTAATCAGATATTTTCGAAATCGGTGTCAACCGATGCAAAGCTAATTTAATATATTTCGATACGTAAAATACATCACAAATTGATGTTTAATATTTTAACTATAATTAGAGTTCATATCTAATCATATTTAACTATTAGATGTTCATATCTTAAAATGTTGTCGGCTGGCACCGACAATAGCGTTTTTTATCATCTGTCATCAATCAAGTCTGCTGGATGTGTATATAAGAGACGAATGCGTAGCCCACCACGTTGGACGTCGGGAGATATGTTATGCCGGTTGCTAGCGATATTTTATACATTCTAAAGTAGAGTAGACCGTAAAAGCAATCCCTCGGTTATCAAAGACAGGAAGGGAGACATGCCCGAATTCACCAACATCCCATAAGCTACCACCTACGTATGGGATCTCTAGCTTAAAAGTTCCCCTAAATTAAACCCTAAATTAAATTTCGTTTTACCATCGTCAGAGCCAGTATTTCTAGTACCTATATTTAGGTGGCATTTTAACATTTAGGTGACCTCTAACTGTCGGTGAAACAGAAACTGTCCTCTAACAGCCCCCTAAACATACTTAGGGGATCCCTTAAACTTTTTTTTTTTATATAGTTGGGAAATCCTATTACGGATACCACCCGACTTCCCCCGGGGTGGTTATGTGAAGACTCTCCGGCTAATAAGACCGGCATACCCACTAAAACCCAACTTTTCCCCTCTGCCGCCATGTGGGACGCCACGGGATCGCTCACGCATACAACCGCGACGCCCCGACGGTTGACCGAAGCCACCAACCATGAGGCCGCCCCAAGCGGGATAACCCCATTGTGGGAAGACTTACAACCCAAGAAGTAAGGCCGCTCCTAAGTCCACTCTGCTGATCAGAGAAGTACCCGGAGCAGCCCCACAACACACAAACACCGACCACCGAAGTGGGCAACCTGCCAAAATAGTTCCCCACCCAAATTGGGCAAAACCCCCTCCCAAAGACGCCTGAAAACGAGCCCAACCATAAACGGCTGCAGGAGAAGAGGATGCGACAACGCCGACACTCCCCTTCCCCTGCAGCCCCACCGCGTCCACCATCAATGGTGGTGGCCCCGCTAGGCCGCGGGAGATAGGGACGAGCGGCGCATCGCCATACCGACACTCCTCTTCCCCCGCGGCCCCCCTACCGTCGGCCCACCTCCGGACCAAAATGGCTGCCGACATCCCTCACCAGACGCAGGACCACCGAACTGGCCCCGTTCCAGCCGCCGCACCGACGGGCTAGCCCCGGCAGTGTGGCCCGCGCAGCGCCTCCTACCGCGAAACGGCCGGAGACACCGCGCTACCTCCAAGAAGGAGACGGCGCCCTCCTAACGCCGCTCCCTCAACCCTCCCTCCTGGCTGTTGGTCCGCGCCGGATTGCTCCGGTACCACAAGCTCCTGTCGGGTCCAAACAGGTGCGAGTGGTGTTCCCCTATCCGCCACCCGGGGACGCGTCCGGTAGCAGTCAGCCTCTGCCCCGGATCCCTTAAACTTAGGTGAAATCGACCAACAGTCTCTTTAAACACTGACCCCTAATCTCAGAGTCGGTCAGGGGACTGCTGCCTTTATAGCTCCGGAGGAGGACGGCTCGGGTTACATGCGAAAGCAATCCTAGATTCTAGATATAGATTCTATCCTACATCCTATCCTATCCCAATAAGAAGGAGAATTTCGGTGGTTTTTTTACTAACGATAAAATAGTGTAAATGAGCTTATTGAAACTTTAACAGTCATTTTAAATAAAACTATATTTTCGGTTTTTTTTTTGGGATTTTATTTAGATTTTTGGTTCCCAACGTTTCTAATGCTATACAGCAATCATGGTCACTGGAGACTTAGTCGTGAACCAATTCGCGAAGGAATCCGAAAAGATAGTTTTATTTAAAATGTCAAATATTCGCATAAATCTAAGAAAGTATTATTCAACAGTAGTTTTAAATTAGTTTATAAATAAGTATAAATTGTGGGATTATCAGTAAGCACTACTATTGTAGTAACATAAAGTTTGTGTAAGTAGTCATACGGTTTCATTTAAATTCAAAGTCACGCTATGTAGATCTCAAGAATAAAGCTTATAAAATATAACTGTTGTAAATATCTTAAGCGAGCTTTAGTTTAAGCGAATATAATAAAAGTATCTTTTGTCAACGTCTTTAAATTGCGGAGCGCGTATCATCTTACTTGATATTTCCTCATTCTCAAATATTAATTTCTCCAACAGCGAATTAATTCAAAGCCTTACTTACCTTCTATTACGCACCAACAATGATTATGTAGGTACCGCGGGACTACGAAATTTATTAAACCTTATTATTTCTAAGCTTTATTATATTAAAATAATGCAAATAGCTATAAGCATATCTAGACCATGCCTAATTATAAACTAGCAATTGGCTTTCGCTCGCTTAATTTTTTCGCGCGTCCTTCAGAAAATTTTGTAATACTAATATTCC